TCTTGCTAGCCTTAAAATGAGCCATCCCAAAGGCGGAAAGGGAGATATCATGGCTATCAAGAGAGAAGAGCCACAAGTAGAGCACATCTCTTTGTACCTGAGATCCCTGTGCTAAAGAGACAGCAGAAAGATAGTGGCAGCAGAACCAAGAAACTGGTGCAAGACAGAGCAGTGTGCTTCCGGGGCCAAGGAGCAAGAAAACTGAGTGCTTTTGGGCAGGAGCCTTTTGGCGGAGTGGGATGCCTCTTTGGGCACCTATCAGTAAAGCTAAAAGAGCTTTGTAACACTGGCCCGAGTAGGACAGAGGCCAAGGCCAGAGAGAAGCATGCCTGTGGTATGGCTGAGAAGAAATCCTGTTTGAAGAACTATATCCTGAATTATTTTCTGATCCTGAATTGTAATCTGTTATTTCCTAATCAACGCCATAATCGTGAGTATTGTGCATGAGTTCTGTGCAGCCATTGCAATGAATTATCAAAGTAGAGAGTGCTGTGAGAAGGATGGTTGGTGTCAGAACTGGCAAAAAGATTGAAGGGTCTGACTTCCAACTCATGGGAATCAGCCTTGGGCTGTTAATGGTGATTTTCTCTCCCCCTTGTGAAGTTAGATGTTGCACCCCATGCCCTTTTTGCAATGGGGAATGAAATACTGATGCATGCTACAACATGCATGAACCGTGAAAACTTTATGCCAAGTAAAAAGAAATCGGACAGAAAAGGCCACGTATTGTATGATTCCACTTATTTGGAATATTTAGAAGAGGCAAATCCACAGAAACAGAAATCAGTCAGTAGTTACTTGGGATGGGGGAGAAGGAAATGGGGAATGACTGATAATAGGTATTGGCTTTCTTTTGGGGGTGATGAAAATGTTCTTGAATTAGAAAATGGTGATGGTTACATAACCTTGTGAATATACTAAGGGCCACTGAATTGTACATATTATTATGAATTTTATGGTATATGAATTATATTGCAATAAAGAAAAGCTCAAAAAAGAATGAGTATAGAAAGACTCACACACAACTGATAAATTAATTTTCAACAAGGTGGCACATCAATCCAGTAGAGACAAGATAACCTTTTCCAACAAATGGGCTGGATATACCTAGGAATCTTGACCCATATTTCACACTATGCACAAAACTTACCTTGAAATGTATCATAGGCTAAATGTAAGAACTAAAATTATTAAAACTTCTAGAAGAAAATATAGAAAAAAAATCACCATGACTTTGGGGTATGAAAAGATTTTGTAGTCTGGTCACAAAAGTATAAACCACAAAAGAAAAAAGTTTCAATATCCTGGAAAATGAATACTGAAAGTACTCCAATAGAGACCCAAACCAGTAGCCAGTTCTTTCAAGTCACTCAGACTCGTGGTTGTGTGCCAGCGTACAACTGTGTTCCACAGAGTTTTCAATAGCTGACTCTTCAGAAGTAGATCAACAGGGCTTTCTTCCTGGGAGACTTTGGGTAGACTCAAACCTCCAACCTTTCAGTTAGCAGCTGAGTGCTTTGCACCACCCAGGGACTCCTAACATAGACCAAGTCCCAATTTTCAGTTAGAAGAATGTAGTTCCCTTATCTATGAGATTTGCTCATTTTTGCCTAGTAACACCTCCCCCACTTCTTTTGGTTGATTTCGTGAAACTATTTCTCCCTCATGTCATGTTTTCTTTTGTGAGTATCAATTAAGAAGCCCTACCTCCCCGACCAAAGGAGCTCTGATGGTACAGTAGTTAAAGCATTCGACTGCTAACCTAAAGGTCACCAGTTTAAACCCACCCTCCATGGGAGAAAGATGAGGCAGTCTGCTTCCAAACGGATTTATAGCCTTGGAAACCCTATGCAACAGTTCTACTCTGTCCTATAGAGTAGCTATGAGTTGGAATTGACTCAATGGCAGTGGGTTTTGGTTTTACCTCCCTGATCAGGGACTGTGGCCTGGCTGAGTAGTATGACCATCAGACTCTTTTCTGGGATTCTCAACGGTGACAGAGCATCCAAGGATGGCCCATGTTTGAAGTACAAATTAACCATCCTGACAATGGGGCCTATGAGGTTTCCCTCATTTTCTCCTACCCAGATACCTGACATTGTCCTGGTTTCTAGCATTGCTAAGGATCCCGTGTTTCAGCTTTTCCTTCAATTCTGTAAACCACTGCTACCCTTCCATTCACTTCTTTTAAGGCTAAATCAGCCAGAGTTGGTTTCCGTATTGCTTGCTGTATAGCCCAGCTGAACTGGGCTTGGATTTGGGAGATCGGGATTCCAGTTCAAGCTCCACAATTTATTAGCTGTGTGACTTTGATTTTGGAGAGGTCACTGCTGAGCACCAGTTTGCTCTTTTTTAAAATGTTCCATAAATATTTCCTGAATGCCTTATGTGCAAGGCACAATGATAATGCGATTTGGTTTATTTCTGAAAAAGATATTTAAGTTCTATAGGATTGTTCAGTCAAGGCATTTGGCTGCTAACCGAAAGATTGGTGGTTAGAACTCACCAGTCACTCCATGGAAGAAAGATCAGGTGATCTGCTTCCATTGAGATTTATAGTCTAGGAAACCCAACAGGGGTTGCCATGAGTCAGAATCAACTCGATGGCAATGAGTTTGGTTTTTTTTTGGAGAATTGTTGAAAAAATCACATGAAATGAAGTATATGAAAATATTACCCAGAGAATATTATTATCTAAATAAACAAAGAAGGAAAATAAATAAACCCTTTTCTGACTGGGTATCTTAAAAATTACTTACAGTCTGGTCCCCGAGGGGTATCAATCTGTTACTCTTCCCACAGGCAATTTAGTTGTTAGATCTAACAACCTTGTTGATGCTTAGTACATTACCCAGTCATTGCCTCAGGCTTTCTGGGCGTATTTTAAATTAGTCAATTATATGAAATCTCTCCTTAGGCAAAATAAAATCTTTCCTTGGAGTCAAATCAGGAATTATAAGTATTTCTCTGTATTAATTTCCCAATGATTATTTTGTAAAAGCATATACACATAAAAATCCAACAATACTTTTGTCCCTCTGTATTAGTCTGTGAGGCTCTTATTTTGACATGAGGGCACAGCGGCCGACTTCTGGCAGGATGACCCTAGGATATAATTAGCAGTCAGCATGCGCTTCACTTCCTGGACTTTGGATTTCTCTGGAAACATTTTTAGAGCTGGGCAATCATGACACATATGCACAGCTGGATTTATTTTATTCTTAAATTTCTGAAAATATCCAAGTCAATGTGATAGTTACAAATGGATTACAGGTCACTAAGCCTTGGGTTGAAGGAGAGAAGTAAATAATTTGAGATGAACAAAATTGTAACTGGACAATATATTAAGGAATTTGCTTAAAATTCCAGGCTATCTTTATTTAAGATATGGGCACGTGTGCACACATACACTTAGAAACATATGGACACAACTGAAACAATCACTGAGTCTCAGTAAATATTGTTCAGAACATAGTTGCTATTATTCAGGTTTTAGATTTTCATACTCAGTTTTGATAGAGCTAAAATAACATCACCCTTTAAGTCACAGAATGTTTGTTGTGAGTGGATCTTTGGAAGTCTTCTAGTCATATTTGCCACCTGATGCCAGAGTTCCTTCTGCAATATTCATAATTACATGGATGGCTCTAAAATTTGTTATCTCTAATTCCTACTATCCCCCCGAACTCAGTTCCTTTGATCTAACTGCCTACTGACACCTCTCTGTTGATGTCAAACAAGCATCTTGAAGTTCATGTATCCTAAGCTGAACACCTGATTCCATACCATCCCCAAATGATGCTCCCCTACTGTCTCCCAATCTCACTCAAAAGAACTACCATTCATTCCCCAAGTTGCTCAGGCCAAAAATCTTAGTCATCCTCAACTTCTCTTTCTCCCCTCATCCAACCTATTAGCAAATCTTGTTATTCTATCTTCAAAATACATCTAGAATCTGACCTGACCGCTTCTTACTACTTCCACCCAATCACCTGGACAAAGCCACTATCATTTCTTGCCTGAAGATATCATCTAATTGGTCTCCTTATTTTGTCCCATATAATCTACTCTCTACCCAGGATCCAGATTAATCCTTAAAAACAAAAATCAGATGTTGTCCCCCTGTTCAGAACTCTCCAGTGACTTCCTATCACATTCAGAATGAAATCTAAATTCCTCTCATTTACTAACAAGGCTCTCCTGACCTGCCTTTAACCACCTCTTATCTCAACTCTTACCACTCACCTATTGCTTACTCTACTCCAGTCACACTGGCTGCCTTGTGTTCAAGGGCCTTTGTACTTACTGCAACCTCTGGCTGGGGTAGTCTTCCCCCAGATCTTTCCATGCCCCATCCCTCACTTCTTTGAGAACTCTGCTCAAATGTTACTTATTAGAGAGTTCACAGTCCACTCCACTAAGGAAAGCACAGCTCCCGGCCCCTGCCCCATTACTGTCTGCCCCTTTATCCTGTTGTTCTTCATAGCACTTACAATATGTTTTTGCCATACTTACTGGAATGTCAGCCATGGAAGTCACAACTTTATTCTGTTTCACTGCAGTATTCACAGCTCCTAAACAGTATCTGGTAGCATAGTGCCTAAGGCACTTGACTGCTAACCAGAAGGCTGGCGGTTCAAACCCACCAGCCACTCCTCGGAAGGAAGGTTGGGCAATCTACATCCGTAGTGATACCGCCTTGGAAACCCAAGGAGGGGTTGCTATGAGTTGGGTCTGACTTGACGGCACATAACAACAACAACAAACAGTATCTGGCACACATCAGGTGCTCAATAAATATTTTTTGAATGCATGAAGAAATGAACAGTGCTTATTATAGTTCCTGGTACATAGTAAGCAGCTATAAGTTTGGGATGTCAATTTTAGAAGGCAAAAAAATTAACAGAAAGATCAAAAAGCGTTAGTGACTTTAAGATATCAAAAATAAAATTTTATATTTTCAACCAATTTCAATATAATTGAAGTTATTTTGTACTTACTTGGGGTCTCTTCTAAAATTTCCTGGAATTTGGTTCTCTCATAATCCACCAACTGGCGTTGGAGGTGTGGTCTGAGACTCCTAATTGTAAAATTGACCATATCCATTTTCATGAGGTCTAGGACATGAAATATTTGCCTAAAAATTTGGAATTAGAATAGAGAGGTGATTAAATTAGGCTGAAATTCATGAACTGTTACATATGTTATAGCCAGGAAAAGATAAACATCCTCAAAACACTTCTGAAATTCCAATTGTCATTTGGCAAGTTTATTTTTCATAGAAAACCATAGCTATGCACTCCAATGTATTCATCCACAGACCTCAAAAGTGTTTACTTAAGCAGATATAATACAGCCAGCTGGTCCATTACATCCAGCCATAAACTGATAGAAAGACACTAAGAAGCATAAACAATGTGCCTTAATATGGAAACATGAACAATTCAAGAAGGAATTTTCATTTGAAAGCCCCTGAAATTTTCCTGAACAAAGGACTCTATGGTTTCTATTGCAAAGGGAATTGAAAACAGAAAGGATGGGCAGCGAGGCACAGAGGAAAAGCTACTCGATTTAAGACTTGGGCATCCCATGATCGAATCCAGGTTTGCAACTGACCAGCTCTGTGGCCATGTACAAGTTACTCAATCTCACTGAGCCTCACTTTCCTCATCTGTGAAAGAAAAAGACAACCTCAACTTTGGAAGGATGTTGTGAAGAATCAATGAGAAAATGAACATAAAATGCAGGGACAGTGACATCTTGTAGGTGCCCAATAAACGAATAAGATAAACACCAGATTTGAAATCATGCACAGGAAATTAGGTAACTTGGAGCAAGAATCCTGCATTTGATGAATCCCAATCCACCAGAGTTGAGCATAATCCAAGGCCATTTTACAGACAGGGAAAGTACGAGCTGGAGAGGTTACTGACTTGCTTGAGGTCGCAAAGTAATTTATCCACTACATGCAGACTGATTTCCTTTTCCTCCCTTCTCAACACTGTTACATAAAACTCAGTTCTCAATGTGGCCATATGCATATAAAAAGGAGAAAAAAATGCTCCCAATGGCAAAAAGTACTGCAGCCTTTCCCTTCCTCTGGGATCACAAGGCCAGTATTATCTACATGACTACATTACATTCTCATGATCATAATGTATACTGGTGGTGCAATAGTTAAGGGCTTAGCTACTAACCAAAAGACTGGCTGGTTGAACCCACCCAAAAGTCCAGAAAGACCTAGCCATCTGCTCACATAAAGATTACAGCTGAGAAAACCCTATTGGGCAGTTCTACTCTGTCACATGGGTCAAAATGAACTCAACGGCACATAATACTCCTTTCACAGCATTCATCACAATTGTAATTACTTGCTCAAGATCTGTCTCCGCATTAGACTGTAAACTCCCTAAGGTCAGGGATATCACCGTATCCCCAGGGCCCAGCACGTGCCAACTAAACCTCATCATTCTACCTGAAAACTCTACGTACACAAGAAATGGCTGACTTACTGCTTGCTTACATGGTTTTCTTCTACAGTAGAGGAGTCTTTTGTGAGACCACTTGTTTTCTGTATTCCCCAACATCCATAGTTTCTGTATGAATGAACTCCAAGATACTCTAAGGAACCATAAGCAGCACAAGTGCTAACCTCAGGACCTCCACGGTGTTGCCAGTAGCCTCCAACTCCCTGATATCATCATCTCGTACAGGAGCACACAGCTTTCCCATCGTACTGATGACATAATTGGCCAGGCCTTGGATGTCAACAGCACTGTGCTCAGCCTGCTGCCTAATGAGGTCTGTGTCTAAAACTTCACAGATCTGGTTGCGAAGCCGGTTGCCACCAGGAGTCAGAAAAGAGAGAAGAATCTGCACAGGGCAAGGAAAAAAAAAAATTAACATCATCATAGTAATAAAAGTTGTCACTTTTCCCTTCAGTGTCTAGATGACCAAGCTCCTTGTCCCTATTTTAGTACTCTGTGGATGTCACAGAGGTTTACACTGACTGGGCTGTAGATCAAAGAGAGTCCAGTGTTTTGACTCTGAAAAGAAAGCTCTGGCTCTTGAGTTAAAGTGCTTCCCCACAGGAAGTTCCTGATACAGTCAGGATGAAACTGTCAAGGAAATATTACTAAAAGATCTTCAAAATGCTGACAGATAAACAGTGTGGAGAAGAAAGAACAAGATGTAGATCATGCCTTCAAAAGAACCTTTCAGAGAAGAACAAATGGAAAAATCCCATGGGCTCCATTAGAATATTTCACATATAAAATATTTATCATATGTTATATGAGTTATCTATTTATAGGAGCCCTAGTGGTGCAGTGGTTCCACCCCATAGGAGAAAGATGAGGTAGTCTGCTTCAGTAAAGATTTACACAACCTTGGGAATCCTATGGGGCAGTTCTACTGTCTCCTGTAGGGTTTCTATGAGTTGGGATTCACTCGACAGCAGTGGGTTGGTTTGGAAACCTATTTATGGAGTATTCATTACACAGTGGACACTGTACTATACACACAGCATGTGGTTAGGAGCATGGGAACATGGGCTCTGAGCCAGAGTGCCTCCGCTTCCTCTCTGCCCCTTATAGCAGTGTAACCCTGGATAAGTCAGGGAACTTAGTTTCTTCAGGGTTGTTTATCCTTAATAGTAGCATAAATGAATAATATAGTGCCTGCAAATACCTTGTTAATGTTAGCTCATATTACAAGGGTCACCTCATTCAATTCTTCCAACTACCCCGTCAGTACTTTTACTGTACTGACAGTAAACTGAGGCTTAAATGGGGACAGCTCATAATTGACCAGGCCAATCTACCCTCAGAGTTCATTCTCCTTCCACTGCACCCATCTCCCAGCCTCCACCCACTCCAGGAGGCACAGGGAAAACCCTTCCAGGGCATGGACTTGCTCAGTTTTTCAGAGTTTCCAATACTACAGGACATGAAAAAGTCCCTGGAGGAAAAATGAATTAACACTGACAGTATCAACTTGCCTCTCTGATTTCTTCAAATAGTTTGATGGCATGTTCATACTCAGGTGGTTCTGCACTGAGTTCTGATTCCAAGACATCCCAGAAGGCCTGATGGACAATGTGCTTCACTCGACTGGCCAAGCTACAGGAATGAAACGGATTGTTTTTTTAAAAATAAACATAATGTTTCCTGATTATAAAAGAAATATGGTCACTGTAAAAATCTTAGAAAATGTAGAAAAGCAGAGAATAAAAATCAACCATAATCCCATCATTTATCCTTTGATATATTACCCTTGTTCTATTCATCGTTTTAACGTAGTTAAGAGTATTCAGTATGTACGACAGTATATACTTTTTTCACTTGATATTCTGTCCTAATCATGTTCCTAAGACATTAAAAAAGGCTTTGCTGCTATTGTTTTCACAAACTGAATAAAATTCTGTCCTAAGGAGACATAATAATTTACCTAGTTATTTTCTACACAGACCTTTAGACTGGTTCTAGATTTTTGGGACTGACCTTTAAGAGATAGCAAAATCACTCTTTCCTCAACAGCTGGAAATTTCATGGCAGAAAATAGAACAGATTGGCCCCCAGGAGTCACACACTTGGATGCCTGCCAACTTCAGCTTAGCTGTCCTATTTGGAGCTAGTAAACTCAAACTGTGGAAAAAGGAGCATTCCTAGGAAGAGCTCACAATAGAACAGGTGGCCACCTTGCTTCCCCACTTACATCAACGTCCTAAAATAGGTGCACAGTAAAATACACATTCCTATTGAACTCCTACACTATTTCTCCACAGCTCTGGGTAAAGTACGTATTTCCCTGCACTGTAATTACTTACTTTCCTCCACAGGGCTACACACCCTTCCTGGTCAGAAGCTATAGCTCCTTCCAGATACCTGCCCTTGTACCTAGAAGACTGCCCAGCACACAGTGAGTGTTCAATGAATGTACGGGGAATGAACTAATAATTTCACAGTTCAAGTGTATCTCTTTTTTTTTTCTTTGTAATGTATAAATAGCTAAGTATAAAATAATACTATTAACCTAACCCATTGCTATTAAGTCAGTTCCAACTCATAGTGACCCTGTCGGACAGAGCAGAACTGCCATGTAGGGTTTCCAAGACTGTAAATCTTCACAGAAGCAGACTGCCTCATCTTCCTCCCACAGAATGGCTGGCAGGTTTGAACCACTGACTGTCCTTTTGGTTAGCAGTAGAATTGCTTTAACCACTATGCCATGAAAACTCCTAAAATGCTATTAGAGATGAAAACTAACTGTTTAAAGACTGAGTTAAAACTAAAACTAAAAATACTATATTCTACAGCAACTTACAATGTCAAAACTTACACTAGTGGCCTGAGAAGATGTGTTCAGCACAAATGCCATTTCTATCATGGGAGACTCTCTTGAGTAGCTACAGAACAACTAGAAAGACAAACACTGTTAGGAAGGACTTTGGCTCTCGACTTTTCAAACCTCACATACTTGGCTTGAATGGACCAAGGAATGAGCTAAAGCAATCTCACAGCTCCATAAGGGGCTTCAGAGTGTAAATTTAATTTTTCCTAAATGATGTAAGAAGCTCTGGTAGCGTAGTGCCTAAGGCACTTGACTGCTAACCAAAAAGGCCGGTGGTTCAAACCCACGAGCCATTCCTCGGAAGGAAGATGGGGCAATCTACTTCCGCAGTGATACTGCCTCGAAAACCCAAGGAGGGGTTGCTATGAGTCGGGTGCGATTCAACAGCACATAACAACAACAACAACAACAACAACAAATGATATAAGATATTTTTTAGCTCTTTAATTTCCTGGGGAGGTTGGAGGCTGGAGGTGAGATCAGTTAACTCATTTATAAGCTGTCCTACTGAGTATCAGAAACCTAACTTATTTTACCAAGTTCTTGCCCCAAAGAAAATATTCAGTAAAACATGAGAGTCAGCTATATTTTAAAAAAGAAAAGCTTGGCCACTGGGGAAAGTCGTCTGAATAGCAACAGCTGATAATATGCTATTCCATTTCTAGCAAAGGTAATGTGTTCTGACTCTGCATTTTATTTCTCCTTCTCACATTTCCTGGCCATGGCAGAAAAGGAAGGAGAATCAATTTTTCCATGGTATAAAAGTACTACAGGCAATGTACTTTTATACCCCTAAGCTCATCTCATGAATTTGGAGTACTATGGTCCCCATTCATTCCCTGGGGAATGTAAAGGTCAGACAAGGCTTCAGCAGAGCCAGGATTCAATCTCCAGAGTCTTTCTGATCCTAAAGAACCCTGACTATGACCTAAACTTACAACTTTTGAATTTACAGTATCTAAAAACTCAAAACTGCCTTTTTCTGTATATCATAAAATGAACTAATTTTAACTTCAAGAATTCATTTTTGTTAGTCAGTTAATAACTGTTTATTGAATATTGAGTATGTGCTATGCCCTGTTTTAGGCCCTGGATGTACTATAGTAAAAATAAAGTCTCTGTCCTCAAGAAGTTTGTATGTTAGGAGGAATAGAAAGACCAAAAAAAAAAAAAAAAACCACCTGAAAAAGAAACAAGACAACTTCAGGGCTAAGAAGAAAATTGAATAATATAGCATTGGAGTGGTGGAGAGTGTGCTGACATAGTTGGGTGGTTGATAAAATCTCTCTAAGGTTTTGAGTTGAGACTTGAATGGGGAGAAGAAAGCAGCTGTGTGAAGAATGAAGGGAAGAACATTCAAAAAGAAGAGAAGGGCAAAGTCCCTGAGTTAGAATCAAGCTTGGTGTACTCCAAGGTCAGCAAGGAAGTGAGTGTGGCTCAAGCACAGCAAGCAGGAAGGAAAGTGGTTAAGAGACAGGGCTGGGAGTAGGGCCTTGCAGGCCACATTAAAGACATTGGATTTTTATTCTAGTGTAATAGAAAACCACTGAAGGGTTTTGAGCAAAGAAATAATCTAATCTGATTTAGAAAAATCATTCTGGCTACTGTTTGAATATGCAGGCTGGACCATGGGGAGACAAGAATGGAGAGCAGTTAGGACTGACATGGTGGTAGTGAAGGACTGGATTTTGGTGAAATGTAGTTACCACAGAAAACCAAACAGATACACTCACTTTTGCTAGTATTCTTAAAAAGTATTAATGAGTACTGTGAGTAATATCCCTAGCAGGATTATGATCTACATTTTAAAAGAAGAAAATTATTACATGTACTTACTTTCCTTATTTAAAACAAAGAAGTTCTAAATGGGATCAAATATTATGGGTTGTCTTAATTCATAGAGAAAACACCTCAGGATTTAGAAATGGCTCTGTGACTGAAGATTCTACGCCATTACAACAGCTAACTTTGCCCCTAACCAAGATCCATCTGCGCTAATAGCCTCAAGCCTTTTTTCTTCTTTGTCCCAGGAGATCTGTGAACCCCTAAAGCCAGAGAGAGGTCAAGGGAGAATATAAGGAAGTGGCTCAAAAGAGTAGTCCCTTGGGGGTGAGGTTAACTAGGAAGTGGCCAAGCAGCAGTGATTCCTACTCCCACAGGCTTTTGAATCACCTGTTCTTAGTACTTTGGCAGTTCAGTTGCACTAATCCATTACAATCTGGATACTAGATTCTAATTAATCAATCTGTAAATATTTCCTGAGGACACACCCCATGCCAGCAATACAGCAGGCAATAAGGAAGGTTGGGCAATTTACTTTCTAGTGATACCGCCTCAGAAACCCAACAAGGGGTTGCTATGACTTGGATCTGACTCTACAGCAGTGATTTTTTTTTTTTTTTTTGGTACTGACAGAGCAGCAAGTAATACAGATACAGTTCTTCCCCTAGTGGTGTTTTGATCAAGTGAGGAGGATAGATATTCAGCATAAAATTATAAAACATCTTACCCAAAAGGAAAGTAGAGAGGACTACAAGGGAGCTCTGGTAGCATAGTGGCTAAGACACTTGCCTGCTAACCAGACGGCTGGCGGTTCAAGCCTACCAGCCACTCCTCGGAAGGAAGGTTGGGCAATCCTACTTCCGTAGTGATACTGCCTCGGAAACCCAAGGAGGGGTCGCTATGAGTCGGGTTTGACTCGACGGCACATAACAACAACAACAACAACAAGACTGTAAGGCTGTAGCAAATAGATTTAATATAGTCAAGGAGCCCTGGATGGTGTAAACAGTTAGGCATTTGAGTGTTAGCTGAAAGGCTGGGAGTTCAAACCCACCAAGTAGTGCCTTGAGAGACAATCCTGGTGATCTGCTCACAAAAGATCACAGCCTTGACCTATGGCAACAACCACCAACCTGATGGCAAACAACCACCAGCACCACAAGTGGATTCAGTACAGTTCCTGGTAATGCAAAAGGTTAACATGCTCAACTGCTAACTGAGAGGCTGGTGGTTCGAGTCTACCCAGAGGTGCTTCAGAAGGAAGGCCTGGCGATCTACTCGTGAAAAATAAGCCATCAAAAACTCCACCAAGCACTGTTCTATTCTGACTCCATGAATTGGAGTCAACTCTATGGCAACCGTTTTTTTTTTTTTAAAGTAGGGTCAGTATGTCAGGAAAAGCTTTCCCAGTTAAGTTGCATCTAAACTTAATTCCAATGATTATAGGTAACATGTACCCTAGAATAATTTTTTTTTCTTAAATCAAGTATAAGACCTTGCTAGAAAGCTAAATAATTTTTATCCCACATGGATATTATACTAGAACCTTGAGGAATCAGTGTAAATGTGTGTGTGTGTGTGTGCACATGAGAGAGAGACAGACAGACACAGAATCTTCAGCACAGTGTATGCACAACAGATGCCTCCAGATTACCTGTTCTCAGGAAGGGCATCTTGTTTCAACTCAAAGTTCTCATTAACAGCAATTTCGTGAGCAAGAGTCATGTTTGATAAGTTCCTTGCTGTAGCCATCACCTCGTCGAATGTTACAACCCTGGGAGGGCTTGTTGCTGAAAAAAAAACAAAAGCCAGTTCATGTTATAGAAGAGAAGGTATCATCCAATGAAGCCTCCTGATGTGGACAGAGGTAACCTTCCTCAACGCACAGTTTCTAGGTTTTACGAGTAAGAAGAATATATATTAAAATGGGTGGATTCCCTGCTTAATAAAGACTACAACAATTTTAAAAGTCCTTTGATAGATTCAGTTACTAGTTTGATAATAAATTTTCAAATATTGCTAAGATAATCTTATTAAGCTACACATCTTTTCTCATTTTTAAAGTTTCTAGTCATCACAGGGAGCTGTGGTGGTGTAGTGCCTAAGGCATCTGACTGCTAAACAGAAGGTGGGTGGTTCAAACCCCCAGCCACTCCTCAGAAGGAAGACTGGGTAACCTACTTCTGTAGTGATAATGCCTCAGAAACCCAAGGTGGGGTTGCTATGAGTTGGATCTGACTCCACGGCAGTGAATTTGGTTTGGTTTTTGGTTAGTCATCACTACATTTATTGTTGTTGTTGTTGTTGTTGTTGTTGTTGTTAGATGCTGCCAAGTCGGCTCTAACTCTTAGTGACCTTATGTACAACAAAACACCACCCCGTCGTGTGCCATCCTCACAATCCTTGCTATATCTGAGCCCATTACTACAGCCACTGTGTCAGTCCATCTCATTGAGGGTCTTCCCCTTCTTTGCTGACCCTTCACTTTACCAAGCATGATATCCTTCTCCAGGGAATGGTCCCATCTGACAACATGACCAAAGTAGGTGAGACGAAGTCTGGTCATTTTTGCTTCCAAGGATCATTCCAGCTGCACTTCTTCCAGGACAGATTTGTTATGTGTACATTTATTATGTATACTATGTAAGAAATAGGGAGCTCGGGTGGCATAGTACCTAAAGCATCTGACTGCTAACCAGAAGGCTGGTGGTTTAAACCCCCAGCCACTCTGTGTAAGGAAGACTGGGCAATCTACTTCTGTAGAGATGCTGCCTTGGAAACCCAAGAGGGGTTGCTAAGAGTCGGAACTAACTGGACAGCAGTGAGCTTATTTTTTTTTTTTTCATATGTAAAAAATCGATTAAGACTACTTTTTTAAAAAGTCTGTAATTCAGAATTCTCATTAATTTATGCAGCCTCAGTATAAAATAACTTTTTTAAAAAATTATAATTTCTAAAACTATAGGCAGTATAGTATAATGCTTAGTTTCAATTTCTAGTTTTGTCAATTGGTAGTTAACACTTCACTTCACTGAGGGCTCATAAGGGCCTAAGGTGATTAAATTCGATAATTTAAGCAAAGATCAGGAGCTCTGGTAGCATAGTGGCTAAGGCACTTGACTGCTAATAAGAAGGCTGGCAGTTCAAACCCACCAGCCACTCCTTGGAAGGAAGATGGAGCAATCTACTTCTGTAGTTATACTGCCTCGGAAACCCAAGGAGGGGTCACTATGAGTCGGGTCCGACTTGACGGCACATAACAACAACAATAAGTAAAGATCAGTTAGAATTCAATAGATGTAGATAATTAAAGTAAAATAAAATAAATCAGATAAGGTAGATAATCTACTCAGTAAAAAAAAAAACTCACTGCAGTGGAGTCAGATCTGACTCATAGTGACCCCTCCTTGGGTTTCTGAGGCAATATCACTTTCAAAGTAGATTGCCCAAGCTTCCTTTTGAGGAGTGGCTGATGGGTTTGAACCGCTAGCCTTCTAGTCAGCAGTCAAATGCCTTAGGCACTATGCCACCAGAGCTCCTGTAGGAAGTAACAAATAGAGAATTCTAGTTATTTCTAATGACTATTCTAAAACATCACGTCTTTTTGAAATGACTGTTGGAACTTTTAGTTTCCATTAATTGAAAATGATGATCTCAAACCACAGCACTGACTAGCAGTACTTTTCTACCTAAAAAAACAAATGACTCAAAACCAAAAAAAAAAAGAAGGATGATATACAGAATTAGTAAAAATCTTTTAGGACACTAAGGTACCATTGCCAAATGCAAATGCCAAATCAATTCCCTCTAAATCCAAGAGTGAGAAAAGGAGAGAAACCTGGAGTGGCTGCTGGTAAATTTTTTGCCAACTTTCTGCTCTAATAAGATTCTCCTTACAGATGTTTGTGACCTTGGTCCAATAATCCAATTATATAGATAGGAATTCCCATAAATGCTTTATACGCCAAAATGTTTATAAGTAGTATTTATAACAGCCCCAAATTGGAAACCAGTTAACTGGTTAAACTAGTCCAATGATAAGTCAATGGTTCAGTAAATTTATGGTATATTCACTTAATGAAGTAGTGTAGTGCTACTATAATAGCATTCTTGTCACACCAGCCCCCAATTCATGGTGACTCCATGTACAATGGAAGAAAACACCGCCCAACCCTGTACTATTCCCATGATTGGTTGATTGGACCACCGTGATCTACACCATTTTCATCGGCTGATCTTTGGAAGTGGATCACCAGGCCTTTCTTCTTAGCCCACCTAGTCTGGAAGCTCCACTGACTTGTTCAGCATCAAAGCAATACAGAAGCCTCCACCAACAGACAGGTGATGGCTGTGCATGGGGTACACTGGCTGGGAATCGAATTGGGTCTCCTGCATGGAAGGGAGAATTCTAGCAATGAACCACCACTCTCTTCTGATGAAGTAGCAGGTAGTCATACAAACTATGCTCAAAAAAATCTATTATCATTAGTATATGTTTTATTTATAATACTAAATAAAAATAATCTAAATACATATACATACACAGATGCTGGTATATACACACATATTGAAACACCTCAACAAGATGTAAGGATATTTGATGGCAAATATTGATCTATAGGTGGATAGATGGGTGGATAGGCTGCACAATCAGTTATGTCTAGGCTGAAGGTAGTGTACCCATGACCATGTATAGGGCTGGCAGATGATGCTTCTATGAGCGTATCTGTATGTGTTGTAAGAATGTCCAGGTATATAGTAGAGCTGACAAGGGATAAGATTGTGGTGACTTCTTGGCCACAGCCAGCTACCCTGAGGGAGCAAGTAGCTGGAACTGTGGTCTTGGGACCATGGTCACAGGGGACATCAAACTCAATTGGCCTAACACACTAAACAAAAACATTGTTCTACATCCTACTTTGGCTAAGTAGTGACTGGGGTCTTAAAAGCTTGCAAGCAGTCATCTAGATGCAACGATGGGTCTTTCCTCATCCAGAGCAAAGAAGAATGAAGAAAACCAAAGACACATGGAAATAATTAGTCCAAGGGACTGGTAGACCATGTAATCCTCAGCCTATATGACCATGAGACCTGAAGAACTAGATGGTGCCCGACTACCACTGTCAACCACTCAAAGTGGGATCTATGTAGGAGATCCTGGATAGAGTAGGAGAACAATATGGAACAAAACTCAAAATCATAAAAAAAAAAAGACCAGGTTTGCTGATCTGATAGAGCCCAGTAAGACCCCTGAGACTAGGGCCCCTAGTTACCCTTCAGGTCTGGAATTGAACTCATTTCTGTAGCTTCCAGCCAAATAACAGGCAGGCATATGGGCTGAACATTTATATCAGATAGATATACTACTTGGAGTGAGCAAGTGAGCAATCATGGGAGAACAGAAGGGTAGTGTATGTACAGGGAAGACAGCTGGGGGAGGGGCAGGAGTATATGGGAGGGAAGGACACAGAGAAAAGGTTAACTACAGGGAGTAAGTGGGAAGAGAGCTATTACATTGTGGGGAATTGCAGTCAATGTCAAAATGTGTATGAACTGCTGTATGGAAAATGAATTTGCTCTGTAAACTTTCACCCAAATCACAATAAAAATTAAAAAAAAAAAATAAAGATGTACTGACACAGTGGCTCCAACAATGGGCTTGTGCATAGCAAGGACTGTGAGGATGGTAAAGGCTGGGCAGTGTTTTATTCCGTTGTGCATGGGGTCGCTATGAGTGGGAGGTGACTCGATGACACCTAACAACAACAACATCATATATGGTAGCAATAAAGACAGGATGAAGACGTGACAAAGTATTGCCAGTTGTTTTGGGGTTATATTATAGGCAGTGTTTTCTTTTTTGTATATTATATAGTGGCTAAAGCACTTGACTGCTAACCAGAAGGCTGGAGGTTCAAACCCACCAACCACTCCTCGGAAGGAAGGTTGGGCAATCCTACTTCCGTCGTGATACTGCCTCGGAAACCCAAGGAGGGGTCGCTATGAGTCAAGTCTGACTAGAGGGCATGAAACAACAACATACCTTCTAAATATTCTTTAATGAGATGTAGAAATAGAAAATAGATACAGATGAACCAACTTGTTTAAAGTGGGCAGCTGAACATATTAAGACATAGTTTCTTCTTTCTGCATTTGCTTTGTCAATTTAAGGTATTATATTTCTTATACAAAATGCTAATAAAAAGCAAAAAAAAAAAAAATCTAGTTTACACACCTCTGGTTTTCACAAAAAAAAAAAAAAAGAAAGAAAGAAAACCATGTCTCCTTTAGCCACAGCCACTCTTTTAACTCTTTCTCAATCCACATTGTTCTTGTGTGGGCACCTTTCAGGGGTGATTTGCACAACAATTTTAGAAATCAGCAGGAAACCCTATAGGTTATTTCACTTCCTGCCTGATCTTGAATTGGGGCAAGTTTACTTCAATGTAATTCAGAAATAATCAGAAAAGACCAGCTTGAATTTCTCCTTGGGGAAGGGAGCAAGAAGTGATCTCAAGAAGGCCTTGTTTTCTGTTTTCTACCACTTGGAAGAGAAGAGGGGTGAGGCAGGGGGCCTGGTTCATATTCAAACCAAAGGTGGTTAGAGACAGTGATCAAAATCAAAATCAGCAGGTTGTCAACTTTAGTGGCTCTGTGTGTGTGAGAGTATATATAGAACAGGTGCAGTGCCTGGAGAGGTGTGCTGAAATATGGGGGGAGGGGACACATTCGTGTTTCACTTTCACTCATTTCAGAATTCTAAAATCCAACACATGTCTACAAGCAGTCCCCATCTCCGCCCCTCAGCATCCCTGTCAGCTTACAAGCAGGAGAGTTGGATTTGCTGGAGGAGTCACTTGTAAAGCTCTGCCTGGAGCACTCAGAGTCACTGAGGGAAGCCATGCTTTCGGACCGAGAAGAGTCTGAATCGCTTGGCTGGTCCTCACTCCCACACTGCTTCTCACCATTGAAGGGCATGTTTCACTTGAGTGTGGACAGAGAGCACCTGCACAGACAAACAGAACCTGTGTGAGCATTCTGTGCTACATCCACTGGTGAAGTGGACCTTATGTCCAGCCTTGGAAAAGCCTCCAGAAAAGTACCTCCTCCATTCCCCAGGACCCTAGCCAGGCTGTCTTCAGGCCTTCAAGAATGCCTTCCAGAAAAGAGATTCCACAACCACAGGTGAGCTTACTCAGGACACACCCAGTGTGAACGTGGAGGAGCAGCGCTCAACAGTAGCAGATCCTTCACACACACACACCCCTTCCTCCTACATTGCTAAAACACGGGAAGGAAAGACTAAGAGTGTGGTGGGGCTTTAGAGTCAGACTCTCAGTCTGTCTTTTGCCAGGGGACTTTTGGGAAGTCACTTAACCTTTGCTTCATAACTATGAGGACAGGGAGGGGAGGAGAGTGGGGTAAGGTTGGGGATGGTAATTGGGGAGTGAAACCAAATGTACACGAAATGTTGAATGTAAAACAAAGTGCTCTGTAAACTTGCACCTAAAGTACAATAATAATAATAAAAGAAAAGATGGGCTGAGAAAATAGTGTCATAGGGTTGTTCGAAGATTCTAAAAAAATAAACTTTGAGTCATTTCTGGCTCATAAGCAACCTTACAGGATAGGGTAGAACTGCCCCATAGGGTTTCCAAGGCTCTAATCTCTACGGAAGCAGACTGCCATATCTTCCCCTCACAGAGAAGCTGGTGAGTTCGAACAGTCCACCTTTTGATTAGCAAGCCAAGTGCTTAACCACTCTGCCCCCAGGGCTTCTTAGTTTGAATATTAAATAGGATAAATCATATCAAAGTGGTTAGCACAGCACTCAAACGCCACCGATGATGATTTTTGTTACTATCTTTTCTTTAAAAAAAAAGGAAAAATTAAATATTTAAAATATCAGTCCCTGTGATCTCTGTGAGCCTCTGGGGGAAGGAGAAAACTGATGAAAATCTCTGGCTGACAAATCGCTAGGTTCATCCCCTCTGCTTTCACGTGAACTGCCCTGATATGAAGAGTAAGGCCTGATGTTTGGTTTGTGCTGGACAGTTTACAAAGTATTCACCATAGCATGAGCAGAACCAGTGCAAAGTCTGGATTCATAGGTGCATATAACAGACTTGCAGGGACGAGGGGACCTACTATGGCATGAAATGCAGAGCTTTTTAAAGCTGCCAGAATGTGAAACCACAACTATGCATAGTGTGCCTGGAAATGCCTGCATGGTTTTCTCAATTATTTGGTTAATATTTACTGAGTGCCTTCTGTGTACCAAAGGAGCTCTGGTGGTATAGTGGATAAAGCATGTGGCTGCTAACCAAAAGGTCAGTGGTTCAGACCCACCAGCTGCTCCACAGAAGAAAGATGAAGCAGTCTGTTTCTGTAAAGATTTACAGCCTTGGAAACCCAGTAGGAGGTGCAATGAGTTGGAATTGACTCAATGGCACTAAGTCTGGTTTTGGTTCTGTGTACAGGCTCTGAGCTGAGAGCTGGGGAAAGTTACAGTGAACAAAATAGGTCCTCCTCTCCTGACTCTTAAATCCAATTACCTAGAATTGTGTGTTGGATGTTAAAAAACCAGTTGCCATCGAGTCAATTCCAACTCCTGGTGACCCAATATGTGTTGGAGTAGAACTGTGCTGCAGTTTACAGTGGCTGATTTTTCAGAAGTACATTGCCAGGTCTTTCTTCCAATGTGCCTCTGGATGGATTCAAACCTCCAACCTTTGAGTTAGCAGGCAAGCACATGATCCATTTGTACCTCCCAACAACTCTGTGCAGGACATTAGCAGACATGAAAAGAGAAAACTAGGCATTGCTGAAGAAGCATGAGAAAGGAAGCCAGGACCAGGACTCGGGACAGATCTAGCTTTTGTTGAAAAGAGCACCATTTTTTCATCCCTTTGGTGGTGACAGAGTCAAGGATGGGCCAGTGAGAGATTTATTAAGGGCCAAAGGCCCAAGCCCATTTGCACCATGTCTCACTAAACCAACCCTCTTCAATTCTGCCACTTACAGAATGGTCCAGTCCACCCCTTTTGCAAACAGAAAACCACTAATAGTGAGGCCTGTCTCTGAAGATGAAATGACTGGTGTAGGGCCAAGGCATAGAGTTTAGCTACCAGGAAGCTACCATATGGAATCATGCACCTCATTCTAGAATCCCAAGCCAATTACCCTGAGTAAAGGCCATAAAATAACCCTGAAATCTTGCATCATCACTGGTGAAATAATTTCCTCAATCCCATGATATTAAGGAGCTCATGTGGCACAGTGGTTAAAGCATTTGAATGTTAACCAAAAGATAGGTGGTTTGAACCCACCAGCCACTCCATGGGAAGAAAATGAGGTAAGTCTGTTTCTGTAAAGATGTACAGCCTTGGAAATCCTACGGGGCAATTCTATTCTGTCCTATAGGGTCGCTATGAGTCAGAAGCAACCCGATGGCAATGGGTTTTGCTTTTTATCCCATGATATTGTGTCTGGTGAAGTGGAGGGCCAATGAGGGTGAGGGAGACCCTCAGTGAGGATTGGCCAATAGCTGTAACAATGGACTTGAACATGCCAGTGATTGTGAGGATGGCACAGGACTGGGCAATATTTTGCCCAATGGCAGCCATCTGTCTTTCCGTCTGTCCATCCATCCATCCCATGAAAACTAGATTCTATTTGAGCTTTAACTCCAATCTGCTAGGAGCAAGGGGACAGTTGTTGATATTAGGTGCCGTTGACTTGTGTCTGACTTGTAGCAACCTTATGCACAACAGAACAAAACACTATGCAGTCCTGTGTCAGCCTCAAGAGGATAGAGGGCAGGAGAATAGGGGCTGCTCTAATCATTTCACTTCCAAACAAAAACCCGTTGCTGTCAAGTCAATTCCAACTCAGAGTGCCCCCATATGATACAGCAGAACAGCCCATAGGGTTTCCATATAATCTTTACAGAAGCAGACTGCCACATTTTTCTCCCATGGAGTGGCTGGTGGGTTAAGCCAAGAGCTAAACCACTGAACCGACAGGGCTCCTCATTTCACTTCCATTAAAACCCAAATGTAAATGAAATACATGCCCTTTCCTCTAGATTCCTCTCTGTGCTATCATTTTACCTCCCATTACATTTCTTGGAAATGCTATCTTCTCTCATACGCCTTCCTCTACCCTCTGGTTACAGTGAGTGATGCTCTTCTTTGTACATCTGCAGCACATCTTTTGGATTCTCTTGACAACACTTAGACCTTTTTATGGTTATTTCTCTCCCTTGGTTACTAACTCTCCATAATAAGGCAGGGACTGTGTCTTGTTCATCACCAGTGTCAATTTCATGACAAGTACTCATTTAGTGTCAGCTGAATTGAAATAATTGAATCCCATTTGGTACAAGTTCAACTGGAACATCTGCAAACTGATATCGCTACACATTTATAAGGCTGGTACTGCCAAAGTCTAAGACCAGGAGCAGAGAATCTACCTCCTAAACCTACCTTTTTAGTTTAAAATTCAAAATCCCCTGGTCTTTGTCACATTCTTATTCGAATATCTGAAAGACTGTTCCCACTTCATTGATTTTTAGCTGCAAAAACTGCAATGAATGTTCTCCTCTTACTTTCTCTCTACTACAACTGTCTCTAATTAGCAGGATCTCTGACTGTTTTTCCAAGTAAAAGTGAATAAAAGTTTTCATCCATGAGAATTTATGAACTAGGTTAATAGTTTATAACTGTCCATTTCATTTTTCTACTTCCAGTTGAACAGCATACTTCACAGGTTTCTTAATTGTGTTTAATAAGGCAACAAGGTACTGAGATGTAAAAAATAAAAAGTTCTGGATTAGGAGTTAAGAGTGCTGGGTTTGGGGCCTTGGGTATGTCATTAATTTGCATGTCACATCCTCTCTCTTAGCCTGTTTTCTGAGGGGGTTGGCCAGCTAGGAATTGCTAAGATTCTATAAACCCAGAGTTCCATGAGGCAGTGCCAGGAGTTCCAAGAAATTAAATATGTTCATGGCAGGCAGGCCTCATACTGTGCACCTCCCCCTGGTATTCTAACAATTCTCTGAAGGTAAAGCTTCTGCTTCCTCCAGGGAATGCAACAGAAAATGTATAAGCTTCTATAAAGAGAAAAAAAACTCCAAGAGATTGCTCTTCTCCCTGAGTTTAGAAACTTGTGCTAAATTGGCAGAAGGCCTCCACATTGCAACTAGGCTTCAGTGCATTCAAGCAGAGGCCTTTCTTTGAAGCCAAAATGACCATTATTACTCTGTTTAGAAATGGCCTGTTTCCTCATATGAGAATAATAATACATAACTCATAGAGTTGGTGTGAGGTCTCATTTAGTCAATGTATGTAGGGTGCTTGGAATACTTACTTCATTCTTGTCTCACAAAGAGCAAGCACGATACAAGTGCTTGCTATTATTAGTATTATTTGCTCCCGTTTTTGTGTGTGTGGTTGTTATTATCATCATCTCAAGCATTAACAACTCTGGAGGGAAGAACAGTTTTTTCCCAGGGTGATAAAGGCATGTTTCTCTACAGATAAATAATGCTGGTAGTTAACCTAGGACAGAAATCTTATGCTTCCTGGGAATACAAAAGCCAAAAGCAAATGGCCCATCACTGTGTACATGGTCTTCTGTAAGTCCTTTGCATCTGCTCTTAGCTTGCTTGGTCTCTGGTTTCCATGTAAGTCATCTGGGGACAAAGCTATTTGATTCAAAAGGCAATGAGGGTAATTAGACTGCTTTTCAAACTATTTTGGAATCTCTCTTAGAACAGGAATAATGAAAGCAGCTGTTTCATTAAGAAAGGTAATGGTTCTCATACAGACAAACTGAGATACACTTAACCTTCACTACTGCAACCCACAAGTAAGCCAAACTACTTTTCGGGAATACCACATCTCATTCTACCTGGAAGATTTGTTCATTGGTCAAAGGTAAAGGCAGACAATAATTCCAAGCAAAGGCTCCAACACTACCGTGGGTCACGAGT